CCCCAGATCCTGCACAACCGCACGATGGCGCAGCTGGGGCTGTCCGCCTTCCGCGCGGGGCTCATTCCCGAGGCGCACTCGTGCCTCAGCGAGCTCTACGGCAGCGGCCACGTCAAGGAGCTGCTCGCACAGGTGGGTGGGTGTGTGGGTGGGGGGGGTATGATCGTCCGGAGTGTGCTACGTGCAAGCGTGTGTACGTGAAAGTGTGTGCATGGGCGTGTATGTGAGAAGTGTGCGCAGTGCAATCAGTCCCAGTCCTTGAACGCGCTACCCCAACACGACCAAGCACACGGGACCCCCACCCCCAACACAGCTCAACACCCCACACTACACACCTCCCACCCCCCCAGGGCATCGGCATGGGCAAGTACCAGGAAAAGACGCCTGAGCAGGAGCTGGCGGAGAAGAGGCGCCAGATGCCCTTCCACATGCACATCAGGTGGGGGCAATGCGATTTTGCGCGTGGCGCAAAGTCCGCGGCTGGGACTTCAAGGGTCGTCGTCCTCAGCAGTCTTTCTCGTCTTGTGTCGCGATTGCGTCTTTGGGGGACACCCGCAAACTCATGACCGCGCGGCGGCCGCCGCTGCCCCTCCTACGCCACGCCGGTCCTGGCGGCCCCCTGGGCCGCCGCAACGCCCCGCCACCAACAGACCCGTGGGCGCCCCGCTGACTCGCCCCCCGCCCTAACGCACCCTGGTTTGTCCCCCCCTCAAACACACACCAACACCCACCCATCCCCCAGCCTGGAGCTGCTTGAGAGCTGCGCCCTGATCAGCGCCCTGCTGCTGGAGGTGCCCCAGATGGCGGCCAGCCCCCTCAACGTGAAGCGCCGCATGGTGTCCAAGAGCTTCCACCGCATCCTCGACACATACAGCAAGCAGACCTTCACGGGTGAGCGCGTCCCCGCTGGTCGTCGCGGGGCCGCTCGGGCGGCGGGCGTGGGGGGGGGGGTCGCATTGCGCTCTCTCCAGCTCCCCCCGCTCCGCCCCGGCCGGCGTTTTGTGCCCCTCACATTTTGCCAGACCCCCGGACCCTCCCGGCGCGCGGGATGGGCGGGACGTTTCAACCC